ACTGACTTCAGTCTGTGATAGCTGGTGGTAATTACAGTGTTCCTCTGGATTATGGCAAATCACTCTGAATTACAGTGTTTTTCTCCTTGGGGCTGAGCACCAGGAAAAGGGAATTCTTGGCAGTGGTGGTTAGAGGTTGAGGCAATGGCAGAACAAGTTTTATACAAACTTCCCAAAATGCTAAAGTCAGCTCTGGCTTGGCAGCACCTGTCCTGTTCACTGATGGCTGTGGGGTGGGATGGAATGAGTTGTGTTCATGGCATTAATGATTTTGGCATAACCTCTTTTTTAGAAATAAATCTGATCCCTGCTTGTAGAATGGCTGCAAAGTTCTTCAGGGGTTTGGAGCTAGGCATGTCTTACAGGTCACTCAGTAAACTGAAGGTTGACCCTTGATTAGAGTTAATATCCTCCTGGTGGGTTTGTTTGGTTTTAGTTTAAATGCCTTCCTTCAGGGTGAAAATAAGCTGTTAGACTAGTGAAAACTAGAACCTATTTATAAATTATCTGGAACTGAAGCAGGGCTGGATACATCCAACCTGAAAGGCTTTGGATGAAGGCCTGAATCGCTGAAGGACTCTTACACAGATACTGCTGATCTCTACCCATCCCTGTACGTGGCTGGAGGCCGCAGTGGTGGCAGAGGTGAGGAAAGTGTATCTGCATTTCTTTTCATATGATTAGATTGCGTACTGCACAAGTAGGAATGAAAATCAGATATTTTTTTGAATTCTATTCCCAAAGAGCTGTTCTTTGTATCATGGTGTCTTGGAACTGGGTGGTTTTTCCTGCAAAGAGCTAGTGAGGTTGTTCTCTGATACGTGATGGACTTGCATGTCAAACACCAATCTTCCAAAAAGTCCCCCTTGATGGAGACACAGAGGCTGCCTGCTGGAGCTGTGATGTGCCTTTCCTACATGGCTGTTCTGCATTTGTTCTGGGGCCAAAACACTGAAGGTATAGCCATTAGCTAATCAATTTACTGGATTAAGTTCTTCACTGCAGGGTGAGGCACTGGCACAGGTTGCCCAGAGAAGCTGTGGCTGCCTCATCCCTGGCAGTGTTCAAGGCCAGGTTGTATGCGGCTTTGAGCAACCAGGTCTAGTGGAAGGTGTTGCTGCCTGTGGCAGTGGAGTGGAATTAGATGAGTTTTAAGGTCCCTTCCAACTCAAATCATTGTGATTTTATGATTCTGTGATTCATAAAATAAGTTACAACCTAGGAAAAAGATACAATAGTTCGGTGCTGGTGGGTCTGTAAACCACAGTGAATACCTTGTGTCTGTGAATGTGCTGCTGATCCCCTGAAGCAGATCCAGATCTCACTCCACACTAGTCTTCAGGCTTTGCCACCAGCTGGGTGGTTAAAGTAGTGTGTTGCCCAGGCCTTGGGGAGCCAAGCTGTGCTCCCTGCTGCTGCTCACTGGGGAGGGCCATGAACCAGCCCAAAAGTCACCAGAAGACTGGACTCCTGCTCAGAAAGTCCTTTTTCTGTCTTGCATGGAATGTGTGGTGTGAAATATATTATTTAATTAGCTATAAAATGCAACATATTCCTCACCCTCTATTTTTAAATGACATCAATATAATTATATCTATAATTAATATGGATGGTAACAAAATGGTAGCCTGATAATTTTACATCGTCTTAATTAGCATTAATTTTTCTTTCTTAAGATGGCGTGTTTTTCAAACGCACGTTCTTTAATTGTCGATTCAGACATCACTTTTTCAAAAGATATAATGGAACAGGGTACTGCAGTTATGGAACATGAGAGGAAAAAGAAATATACAAATGGAAATACATTTCCGAATATAAGTATTTGCTTTCTATAGAACACAAGAAAATATCTCTCTGAGGCTGAAAACATGTTTCTGAGGCTAGAAGAAAATGCCTGATGCAAATGTTCAGTATCAAAAAACAAATAAGTTGAAAATTTAAGTTAGAAGTTGCTTCAGAATAAATGGTAATAGATAAATCTGCCAGTAATGAGCATAGACAAAGATGAAATAGTTGTACAATATATTCATTGAGTGATTTTTTTGAAGCCAAACTGCTGCTTTGAGTGGGAGATACTTTGCGCTACACTTTATACCAATGATTTTCAGATTATTAGATTATTTGGCCATGTTTGTTGTTCCAGATATAGCATGACCAGTTGAATAATTTGTTTCTAAAACCCTCAGATTTCAGTTTAGTCCAGAACATAAACTGCTCTTGCACCTCTTTTAAAGAAACCTCACAACTGATCCTGAACTAATTTTTTTTTTTTTAACCTTATGTACTTCTATGAACTTAACCTGATGTGCTAATATCAGTTCGTCTGATGATGGTTGTGGTTCTGAGCAACCTGATGTAGTTGAAGATGGCCCTGCTTATTGCAGTGGTATTGAACTAGATGACCTTTGAAGGTCCCTTCCAACCCAAACTACTTCATGATTCTATGTTAATTTGTCAGATCTCTACAAAACAAACCAGTAATCAGCCTGCTAAGTGTAGACGTTTTTCATCAGTGTTTGGGTTTTGCTTACCAGGGATGAGGTGCAACATCTTGTTAAAAAAATAAAAAAAAAAAAATAAAGAAAAAAATTGGAAAACCCACAGATTCAGGGTACAAACTGGAAATTGGGAAGTGTTTGTGCGACAGCTTGTATGAATTGAAAGTTTGAAAAAACTTCCTCTTTTGCCATGGATTTAACCTACTCAAGTAGCTGTGAATGCTTTACTTCTTGCTGAGATTTGCCAGAGATGGGCACGGTTAGAGCTGTTTTTCAAAATTACCCCCATGTCTCTTTCCTGGTCAGCCCTCAGCATACGTTCCCTTCTCTAAATACTTCCAGATTGTAACTGGGTGAGCTAGTGCATATACAGAGTTTCCAGCACCTTGGTTGAGGTTATATAGGGTTTTAAAGGCTTTGGGACTTGCTTTTGAGCACAGGAAAGTGAGGAAGCGAAGCAGAAAATGTCCGTGTGAAGACAAGGTGGCATTTTTGAGGTGGCATGGTCTCATTTCCCTCCCTTCCAAAAGGCTGGCATGCTTTGGAGTGTGGTGGTTGCAGAGCACTGTCAGGTTGGTATTTCAAAATCTCTCTTTCCACTGGAGAAAAGCCCAAGTATTGGCCCATGGCCAAGGGTTTTTTAAGGGAAAGCAACACTTTGAGACCCTCAGATTTGATCTCAGTGACTTAGCATGGGCTGAATAAATGCAAAAGGCAGCTGGTGCTTTGCTGACCTTTGAATCCCAGATTTTCACCCAGGCAAGTGGCTGGTGAGTGTTGAATAAGAAATCTGGAAAATGGAAAGACGGCTAATCCGGGCAGCTCTTGCTCTCCCTTATGGCTTTGATTTGAACCTACCTGCTCCACTGCCACCTTGGCATGCTACTTTCAAATTCCGTGCAAAGTTTATCTGAACCTCCAACTTCCAAACCCTTGCCTTTATTCCATTGACTGCTTTGCACAGCATGTAAAATAGGGAGAATTTCCTTTACTAGCACACCATTGCCAAGCATCATGTTTCCAAGTGATGAGGCATCTCCGACCCTCTGCTTAATTCACTGAAAAGTTTCCATTTGCTGCTTGATTGAAGTCTTATTCCTTGAGTACAATTTAATATTTCACTGGAAGTCTTGATGGATAGACATCCCCTGGGGCACTGTATTATCTGTGGTTCAGATCTTGGTCCCGGCTCTTTTAATTATACTATAATCCTTTTACAAGAGGAATAGGCTGCATAGGAACGCTAAAAGCACCAAGTATGGTATGTGTATGTCCACATGCTGTAGTTATATTATATGTCTCTCTTAATTTAAGCATTGCCACCTGAGTATTTTGTATCTTTTTGACAGCAAAAGACAGTTTCTCTGTTGCAGGTGTAGATACAGATTTTTTACTCATCAAAAGCTGAACAGGACATCATAATTCTGTCATTTGCCACGGTCTTGACATTATTTTATTGGCTGCAGCCTTTCTCCTATGTCCATTTCCACCCTGGTGGTACTGCAGCCCCGTGGCTCCAACAGCTGAACAGATGCTCTTTGTAGTGGAATGGTGGGTGCTGGTGGCTCTGCTCGCTGGTCTCTTCCTGCTAAGGAGAGGGGACCAGAAAATGAAAATAATTCACTTGCTAAGAAAAGGAAAGCACAAAGCAATACAGACCAAAGGCTGTTTCCTAAGGTCATTCAGGAGCTTTTGTGCTGGGACCAGCAACATATGAAGGTTGTGAACAGCAGTTTAGGAGCAAGGAGATGCTTCCTTTGTGTAATTTTGTGTAAATACTTCCAGTGTTCTACCAGCTTCTTTCCTTTCCTTCCTCTTCCCCTGTGGTTTCTACATTTTCATCCCTCTCTAGACAGCAGACCTTGCTCCTTGTGTGGTTGGTGAGGAGCATGCAGGAGAGTTGGATGGAGACCCTGTAGCGGCTTAGACTTACCGCGGAAATTCAGTCAATATTCTTTATCACTTCTCCAGATTCCAAACCCACCCACAAAGTGTTGAGATCTGGTTGAGCATGCTTCCCCATCAACCGGATGGATCCCTACTGCAGGGCCTTGGTGGTGCTGCTGCAAGAGCTCAGCCAGAATTGCATCTGTATAGATCTTTAACCTCCTTGGTACACAAATTTAAGGTTGACACTAGGAGGAAGACTTACTTTAGAAAGATTGAAGTCTTCCAATGATGGGCTTGGATTATCCATTGTATTAAACTGAAATTTCTCCTGAAGATACTCATCACAATTACATACCTGTGCAGTATTCGCAGGAGGTAAAACTGCGTGTATGCCGGAATGATTCCTGGGCTTGGTCCCATAAAATTGTTTTTCCTCAACACAATATTCCTTCTCTTATGTAGACATTCACTAGTGGAAGAACTTGCATGAAACTTGTGAAATCCAAGGCACCACTTCAGTGTTTGAAGAAGGAAGTAGTTCTGCTCCACTGGACTGATCAGCAGTTGTTAGGTCTTTTGCTGACTGTCACTGCAATGGTTTTCTATTTCCAGGTCTTTTCCTACACTGCTGACAAAGAGATCCGCACGGACGACTTGTGCCTTGATGTCTCAAGGCTGAATGGCCCCGTCGTCATGCTGAAGTGCCACCACATGAGGGGGAACCAGCTCTGGGAGTACGATGCTGAGGTACCACAGTTTCAGCTGTTGCACCCGCACTCACCAGGGTAGAGCTGGGAATTTATTCTTAGAAGAGCATGGCTGTATCCTGAGGAGCCTGGGAATGACGCAGTGCACCAGTGCAGTGGGGTCTCCTGCCATAGCACAGGCTTCGGGGTGCAAAGTAATTCAGCTGACCACTAGGTTTTAAATATTGTTTCCTCAAAATTTCATTTTTTGAGGGCTGAAAAAGTCAATTACTGTTTAAAAAAGCTAATTTCTAGTAGCTAGCATTGTCTTGCACAAGCTACTGAAAATGCATTTCCCCATTGAGCAGAGTTTTAACAGTGCTGCCCCATGGTCTGCGCGTATGTGGCTCTGCTACTCTCTGCTTAGAAATGCCAGATTAGTATTGGTGTATTTCCATAGCTGCAATGGGAGAAAAATACTGCAAAGCTCAAAAAATACTGGTGTACTAAAAGGCATGAATTCTAAAAAGTGTTTCCAGTGTGTTCATAGAAACAACTGTTTTCACCTTTCTGCATGGAAACCTAAATTTCTTTCAACCATATATGCTGTTCTTTAATTTTAACGTTGGAAACATGCTGGTTTTTTCTCTTAAGCTTAGCTTAAGAGATCCACAATGGAAAATTTCTAAGGAGCTGTGTAAAACCAGAATCAACCATTAGATGGAGCTCATAAAAAAGAAATACACCATTTTTTTTGTATAAGGGATCTCCAAGACAACGGCTTTGCTGTTTGTTCCACAAACATTTCTGTTTATTGACAGGAATATTTTTGTTACCAGTTTTAGTCTGTGGACATTCAGACTTCAGCTTGCAAACTTCCTTTTAGTAACTGTATTGGTATTTATGATCTGGGACCCCCAAAACAAGAAGGACATGAAGCTGTTGGAGCAAGTCCAAAGAAGGGCCATGAAAATGCTCTGCAGACTGGAGCACCTCTCCTATGGAGACAGGCTGATAAATTACCTCACACAAAAGTGAAAGTTAAAGTTCCCAAATGGTTGCTCTCACCTTGAAGAAAGCAAACAGTTAAGTTGGTATTTGCAGGGATTAGTGTCATGTCATGTAACTAGATGAACAGTCAGAGCGCTACATTATTCTTGCGTCTTTCTCAAAAAAACCCCAACCCTTAAAAATTAGTTTTATGAACTTTCCGCTTAGTGGTATAGAACTCGGCAGTACCCAGCCTGAGTGACGGGTACACTTATAAAATCCTAATTTACTGACTTAGAGGGTTGGTGTAAGAAGTAAAGCTGTTCAATGAACTTTTTGTGAATAACCTGTTGCTTGCTTGCTTGTTTATTTAATTTGCAATATGAAGAATATTTTACATCAAGCTTAAAAAGCAAGTTGAATTATTATTTTTTTGTTTGCAAACCCCTCAGTTATAGATTCAAATAAGGCATTCCCTTTTAATATCTGCATAAAATGGTACTCCATGATGAAACAAAATCATTTGCAATCTGGAAGTGGAGGGTTTTGCCATTCAAACAGACTTTTCCATAAATTCTGTTTTTCAGTTTGACAGAAACATGACACACACTGGCTGCAGCTCTGGGGCTGCCAGATCTGACCCACAGGTCGTGCAGGGTTGCCTAAACCTTCTATTCCATTCATTTTTCCTACAAGGCAGTTTTCACTGAGCGGCATCTTTTTCTTAACCCAGTGGGATAAATTATTTTTGATACCTGGTCTAGTGGAAAGTTGGAACTAGGTGAGCTTTAACATCCCTTCCAACCCAAACCATTCCTTGATTTTATGATACTCATAACTATATAGGCTAAAAAGAAGCCTTTATATGCACAAAATATTAATAGTATCATCTGGATTTAAGGAAGCACTAAATAAAGAAACCTGCTGTCACCAGAAGAAACAACAGCACTGAATTTCAGCCTTCATATCCCCCCAGTGAGCTGTTTCCAGGAAGGGTAGCCAAGTCTGTGCAGTAATCTCCATTTCTAATGCAAAATGGCTTTTAACACTCAAGGCAGAAGTAGTTTACAGCATTTTTAAACATCTCTTTTACTGAATGTTTCAACATCTTGGCAGGAATTTTATTTCTTCTCTCTCTCTTTTTTTTTTTATTTTTTTTATTTTTTTTTAAATAAATCCATTGCCTTCCATTATTGAATTTTAATGCTTTTCTTTCCTACTTCTTGAGAAACACATCAGTAAGATTCCTGGCCCTTTCTCAAGCTGCCAATTACCTTGCAAGGGCAGCTCTATAAACCAGCTGTGTCAAAGGGATGTGCCAAGTTTGAAGTTTCCCAGCTTTCCAAGGCTTCCTATCAGCATGTGTTTTATAGCATATTTATAATGCATTAAAGCTGTTTGCTTTGGAATGGGGGTCAAAACAAGGTGGTGGGTCAGCAGAAAAAGATATGGGAGTGAGGATGGGCTGGAGCCAGAGTTTCTTCCTAAGCATCTGATCTTGCTTGTCTAATGAAACATGTTTTTCCAATTTTGCTATGTAGCTGTTTGCTTGGTTTGCCCCTGTACTGGGGCACTGGTCTTGCTGGAGATATTTGTGCAGGAGTGACAGAGAGCTGCCAGATAGATCCATCAGGTCCAGGTTTGTGCTGATGTACCCGGTGACTCCTCTTGTGTATCCCTGTGGCATCCCAGCAAATTCAGTATGTAAAGTGTGCTGAAATCTTCTGACATGTAACACACGAATGAACTTGAGGAAAAAATAATGCTGTAAATATGTCACATCTGGTAGAAAATAGTTTAATTTCCTCATGCATGAATGATGATGTTGGGATTTGATCTTGCGCAATTACTGTTATTTGTCGCTGAATGCAGTATTTGTCCATACAGAGATATTGAATTTACATGCATGCAGAGCTGAAGTCTTCACAAGAAAAAGTTTCTCGAGTCCCTGTTTGACTCCAATTTCCTTTTTTTTTTTTTTTGTTTGTTTGTTTGATGTGGTGATGTGGGTTTTTTTTTTTGTTGTTGTTTTTTGTTTGGTTTTTTTTTTCCCCCTTCCACCAGTATGTTGGTAAATGGGAATACAGCTTTGAGGTAAGTTTTTTAACAACTGCAACCCCGGCACTAAACCCTACCGTAGCGCATCTCTTGCTTGCTCCTCTAGCAGTGCTGTATTAAAGTGTTGTGATCTAGTACCTTTATATAAATATTGCTACTACATGCCAAACCTCATTTATTCAGGTAGTCAGTACACGGTGTCACGCTGCCAATGTTTTCTAGAGAATATATGTGTCAGACTGATAACATGGAGGTATCATGTCAGAAAAGTGATTTGATGAAAGGCAGATGCTGATGTTGGCGTGCACAGGCAGATGCTGGCATGTAGGGATAGGACAATGGGAATGGGTTTTAAACTGAAAGAATGTAGGTTTAGATTAGATATTAGGAAGAAGTTCTTCTCTGTGAGGATGGTGAGGCACCCAGAGAAGCTGTAGCTTCCCCATCCCTGGCAGTGTTTAAGGCCAGGTTGGATGGGTCTTTGAGCAACCTGGACTAGTGGAAGGTGTCCCTGCCTGTGGCAGGGCGTTGGAACTGGATGAGCTTTAAGGTCCCTTCCAACCCAAGCCATGCTCTGATTCTATGACTAGAGGAAAGCAGGGAATGCCAATTTACGGTGTAAAGATTGATGGCTGAGAAGCACGTGAGCACACGGGCGCAATATCTGGGAACAGCTGGCTTGTTTCTTATGCATTTTTTGTTCACAAATGATGTAAATACCCATTGCATCATCAGCGTCACATCTGCTGGTCTGCATCTGTCAAACATTTGCAGACTTCGTGACTGTTTATCTTCTTAAAGTTATGGGACCAACTGGAGTTGGTGTAGTCTAACTTCTACCAGAAAAGATTATGGCTAATAGTTTGAATATTCCTATAAATTGCAGTGTTATTACTAACTTCTACCATAGGAGATTATGGCCAATAATTCAACTAGTCCTATAAACTGCAGTCTTTTTACTATGTAATTGAAAGGCCTTAGTGCTTAAAGAATCAGTAAGGAAAACATTGCAGGGATTTTTATTTTTTTTTAATTACCTTCTTAGAAAGTAGTGTTTAATAAAACGAGTGTAGGGGACAAATGATCTCATTCTTTCAATACTATAGTTTTTCTCAAGTCGGTGCAGCTTTGCTGATGTACACAAGTTAAACTTACTGTACCTTGTACCAGAAAGAAGAGTCTGGTCAGATTATCAAAATAATGCTTATACTTTTTATGCCCATGTGAAAAATCTACTAAATTTAGGCATTTACCATAATATAAACATGCAATATAGAGAGATTGTGACATTTTGAAGTCATTTATTTATTTATGTACCTCTATATTCCCTTAACAGAATAGTAGCCAGAAGTGAAGATGAAGCAATAATACACAATGAAACAAAACCAAGCAGTGATGTTTGCACTGGTTACTCAAAGTGACATTATAAGGACATTCATTCTCAGTATTTTTAGTGGCTTCTTTATACATACGTTACTTTTTCCCTTACCAAGCCAAAACTGCAGAGCAGGAGAGGGTGAGGGGATAGCAGCCAGGGCTGGGATGGAGGAGGAACATCCCCAGGCAGCACCAGCCCAGGGCACCTGCCATAATCTGGCTGTCACAGCCTAAGGCAAGATTTAAGGAAATAAAAGCTCCCCTCTAGCTCAGTCTTCCTTCCTGACTGGTAAAAGAAGAGCTGAAATTGTAGTTGACAAATAAATTTTCTTATTTCTCTTTATGTAAATGTTTAATTCATTATATTTTTAATTTCATAATGCTTGAGTAGGCTTCAGGATGGTTAGTACAGGCTATTACTGCAGTAGAAACATCATCTCTGCCCAAATCTTGCTGCGCAATGGGACATCATGATTGCAGCAAGTGGGGGGGGGAGGGAGGATTCAGAGGCATACTGGTCTAAATTGCAAAATGTAAAGTGAACAGGTCTCAAGTGGACTGGTCCCTCAAAGCAGAGCAGTGAGAACATTTTTTGTGAAGCTAAAGCTTAGTTATATATACATTACATACATTATATATTTAATATGACCATTTATGTGTCTGTTATAGCTGTATAAGATAGCACAATTTCCCTATGATTTGGCACTGGTGTGCTCACAGGCGCAATTACCCATTAGTAATTCCCATCAGAGTGCTCTTAGCTTTATCTGGTTCACAGTTGTGGATGTCTAATCAAACAGTCTGTTACTTTTTCCTTTGTTTGTCGTTGTCTTTGCTTGTTTTGTTTACTTCTGCCATTTTTCTGTCATGCAGACCCATACATTTCTTCATATAATCACCCAGTCATGCCTGACAATAAGCAGGATAGAGGATGGCACCTATGGTCCCACAGTGGAGGCTTGCGATGGCAGCCCCTTACAAACATGGATTCTAAGAAACTACACAAGGCTGGAAGTATTTAGAAAAATTTTTTACAGCCCCACTGACTATTTCCTTTAAGAAACAGTTGGAGGTTGGTATTAAAAAGCAAATAGAGCATGTGATGATTTAAGCTATACCCAGAAAATTGCTTCTCCATTCTCTGGCTATTAGACTCGGCTGAATTTATTTCTTGTTTTTGCAGATGATTATATAGATATGTGATAACATATATGGTTAATGTTAGTTATTAGTTATTATTGATTTTAACTAATTTTAGATTAATTCAACTACCTTGATCTATTGATGTCAATGTGATTGTTACTGTTGGCAACAGCTGGAGGTTTGGTTCCTATTCTAAGGCATAGAAATGATGCCAGTTGTGTAATATTTTTCAGAAATCTTCATCTTGAAAATTCCCAATTTTAAGTAATTCAGTCCTAGAGATATTAGTCACAGATAATTTTAAAAGATCAACAGATAATTTTAAAATGTTAGTCACTGAAAGAATCAAAATATTGTGCCAACTACTGTTTTCTCCTAGACGGTTGGTAGTTGTCTAGTTCCTAGACAGCTGAGTAATACAGGGGGTGGTGATGGGGCAACACACATGCAGGGGTACAGGCTGGGCTTGCTCTCATTTGTCATCTGCTCCCCTATCAAACAATGTCACCTTCCTGCCCGAGAGAACAAAAATGGGGGGAAAGCCTCTCTTGTTAGTGGCAGACCCCTAACAACTGTAGTCAGCAGGATCTCAGCAGGTGATGCAGAGTTTCAGCTGCATTGTTTGCCATAACGTGTTCAGAGTCCTCACTCATCAAAGCTATTATTTGCATGCATTTGGTAAGCAGGAAGCCACAGAGTATCTGCACAGCTGTACAGGCAGCTCTACACCCATGCGTGTGTTCTCACATTTGGGTAAAATGAACATTTTAGGCTGGCTTGTATGAGTATCACATTGCCTAGTAATTAATTGTTTTCCAAGCAAACGAGACCCTTTTTGTAATAGTATAAATAATGATAGAACACAGAAAGAAAAAATTTATGAGATGGGTTGAAAATCCCAATGATATGGTAATCTAGCATGAAATTATTCACTGAATAAAAGGGAACAGCTGATGGAGGCAACAGCAGCATTTCTAGGCTTGTTTGCATTTCTGGTTATAGTGGAAAATGATAGCAGCTTAATTGCACTTAAAACAATATAAGTGAAGAATCAGTGATGCTTTGAGCAGTGCTATTTAGTAAACAAGCTACTTCTGTTAGCACTACTAATTCTTTCCTCTTGTAATTAGAGGAAAAAATGCCTTATATTCATCACTGAATGCATACCAAATGGCCCCTCGGTGATTTGTTATAATATCTGCAGGCTTTTCTTTGAGAATTTTGTAATAGTTTGTTTTAAATTGAGGCAAATCTCTAGGGGCAAGCTATTGAAAGAATATTTAAAATACAAATTTGGAGTGTTAATATGTGGCATGACAATCCAGTATGAACTAAAATTATACAGTGCAATAGCGCAGGTATATGTTTGAATAATAAAACTACATCGGCAGTGTTAGCATTTCCCAGCGGTTTAATTGAAACACTAGACAATGGTCCAATAGTCTTTTTTTTTTTCCACACAAAGATACACAGATGAGTACTGTGTGGTGCATCAGAGACACCAATTTTTAAAATAACTTATTTCCATAACTTCAGTTACAGTAGCATTGTTTATATTATATATAAATAATATATAACACAATGCTGCTGCAATACTGCTGCTTCTCCAAGACTTTGGGTTGGGCTCTGCTGTTGTGGGTTTGATTCATCCTTTCCCCCTCCTCCAGGAGGCTGCAGACTTTTGCCACCCATGCTTGTTCCCCTGGTTATTCCTTTACATGGTGTTTGACATAAAATTGGTTTCTGCTCCAGTGGAGGGTCTGCAAACACAATTTCAGTCATGAAATCGACAGTTCCCTTGATTGTTCTGGTTGTGGCAGGGGTATAATCCCTGTGGAGCTGCTGTGCAACAGCTCAGATCTTGCTTGACCACTCTACCTGGAGCATTAAGATACCTGAGTAGGTTGCTTGACTCGGGGAACCTGTTGGAGTGAGTCCAGAGGAGGCTAAAAAGATGCTCCGAGGGCTGGAGCACCTCTTACATGGAGACAGGCTGAGAGAGCAGGGGTTTTTTAGCCTGGAGAGGAAGGTGGCTCTGGGGACACCTTAGAGCAGCTCCCAGTGCCTAAACGGGCCAACAAGAAAGCTGGAGAGAGGCTTTTTACAGGGGCCTGTACAGATGAGACAAGGGGGAATGGCTTTAAACTGACAGAGAGGAGATTTAGATCCCATATTAGTAAGAAGTTCTTCCCTGTGAGGGTGGTGAGGCACTGGCACAGGTTGCCCAGAGAAGCTGTGGCTGCCCCATCCCTGGCAGTGTTCAGGGCCAGGTTGCATGGGGCTTTGAGTAACCTGGTCTAGTGGAAGGGGTCCTTGGTCTTTAAGGTCCTTCCAACCCAAACCAGTCTGTGATTCTGTGAACAGAGTCCATATAATCCCATGGGGCAGTGCATCTGGTGCAGGACCTGTCCTGCCCTAAAACTAAACAAAGGCCAAAATCATGATGTTTTGAGTCAGGTGCAGCAGCAAACACAGATGTTTACTGCCAAAATATTAAGTTGATATTGAGCTTGCAAGGCCATGGGTGACTGCAAGTGCAGTGCATGGCTATTGCATGCCTTGCAGGGCTTGGCTGGAGCAAATCCCTCTGGCAGCCAGGCTCTGCGCTCTGGCTGGGGAGGGCAGAATGCTGGGCTGGCACATGGGGATATGGTGAGATGGTCCCTAGCCCTGCAGCATTGGTTCAGCTCCATCCTGAGCCAGATGGGAACCACAGCTGCCCTGCACCATTGCACTGACCTGGCTCCTGCGTGTGTCGCCATATGGGCTGCACAGCTCTGTCACAAATGTGCCACTTCAAGTGTATGCAGGTGCATAAGCAGGTTCACGTATGATACAGATGTACTTGGGATTTTTTTTCAGGAACTGGAAGACTTTTTAGGTAATAGTAAATTGGTAAATGCAACACTTCTTAGCAGAGGCACTTAAGGTGCATGCTTAATTGTTGTGATTTTGTGTGTAAAATCCCCAGGTCAACCCCAGAGGAGTGACAACACCTGCTGCTCTGCTGCACATGTACCTGTCTTGCTTTATCTGAGTACACAACTTCATGTTTAACTGCTCTGGATGTCTTCATGGACATGTTCTCCAATGCTTTTGAATGGAAGATGATTTATTTCTTCAAAATAAGTTCTATTTTCTGTCATCCCCTTCTGACTCTCCCATTCCTCAGAAGTACAGTGTCATGTGGTAGGGTGTCACAAAGAAGAAAAAATGTATTGGAAACAGAAGAATTTTCACCTGCATCTTGCCATTGTTCATATAATACTCAGTAAATGTATTGCCGTTAGCAATTATTTCTGAACTAACGGTGCGCTGGTCTGAAATGCACAGGTGTTAAGGTTTTTGGAGGCTAAGATCCTTAATCCAAAATACTGTTGCTTTGAAATAATACTTCCTTGCACTTATTTTGTGCTTTTCTGTTACATTTATTTGTTGCTGGGCTCAGCAGAGGTGCTCGCTGTCCGCGTTGCCTGGCCATGAGTGAGAAGGTGAGCTGGGCACCCTGTAGCATGGTAGGGGTTTTGTAGAGCTGTACAAGTGATGGCCAGGGATGAGTACTGGTCTTGTGGCTTGTGTAGTGGCTAGAATAAGACTGAAGTAAGACCAAAAATGCAATTACTGGTTTTCAGCAGTAGCTATCTTGCTGCAGCTCTTACTCTTCTCTGTTGCAGAAGCTCACCCTGAGGCATGTCAACAGCAACCAGTGTCTGGATGAGCCGTCAGAGGAGGACAAGATGGTTCCCACCATGAGGGAGTGTGGTGACAGCCGTTCCCAGCAGTGGCTGCTGCGCAACATGACCCTGGGTGCCTGAAGTCAGTGCAGACCCACTCCCTCGGCCAGGATCTCTTCTTCTCCTTCTCGTCCTCCCATCCTCCTTGCTGAGGCCAGTGGTGCTGAAGCCCTCTCCAAATCCCAGCTGACAGAACAAAGTCACGGGGCAGGGTTCCTTGATGCGGCAGGTCTCCACATGCCCCTTCAAAACTTGTGACTGTTCAAAAGAAGCTCATCTGAGCCTATAAATGTCAAAAGGTGTGGTGTTACCAACACAAGTCTGCTTAAAAGTGGTTCCAGAGAAATGCTCTATGAACCCTATGTCAGAGTGGCTGGGATGGAGGAGGGTATTTTCTGTGTGTTACATACCACTACAGAGAAGTGACCCACTATAAAATGCCTTATGACACTAAATGGCATTAGGAACCATTCTGACAGGCATCTCCCAAGCTGGATGTATTGGCTCTGGTCTTTCTTGGCAACACGGGGCAGGTATTTACTGTTCTCTTATGTTGAAAGGGACTTGGTGAAAGACCACACTGAGCAGCAAAGTTGCCAGGCTCTCAGCTTCATGGTTTGTGGAGGGTGAAAAATGGGATCTAGTGTTTGGAAAAGCAGCAAAACTGAGCAAAGACTGCACTCAGAAATTGAAATTAAATCAGATGAGGCAGCAACAAAAGACACAAAGAATGTTAAGGACTGACACACGTGCGTAACTCAGACCAGCACAGACGGAACTGTCCTGCAGTGGGAAGAGAAGTGGCTGGGGCTGACACTTGGGAGCTGCAAGGGGCTTGCAGATGGAGATTTCAAAACCTGGCCCTCTGAGACTGCTGGAGACTGAGAGTTGGTCTGAACTTGGTCCGTAGCTGCTACTCTTGCGCGTTAGTATATACCCACATCCTGTGTAAGGCACAGACAAGAGCCTCATCCATAGATCCCCTACGCACAGAGGATAAAACTGGACTGATTCCCAGTTCTGGCTCCAGATGTTCTTGCTTTGATAGCACTGACAGATGCTTATTTATATTTTTAATAATTTTGTGGCTTAATAATTCTGTTAGTGTGGTTATTAAAAATGTGCTGATGGCACACAGTCATGTCGGAGGCATCGCAGGACCTGGTGCCGTGCCAGGCCATGTGGGGGTAGGGCAGGATCCCCTATGTACGGGTGACATTTCCTATATGTACTGCTGATGTTCCCTTTGGTGCCCCCAGCAGAATGCACTCCCCAAAACGCATCTGCTGCATGATGGGCTGGGCTGGGTTTTTGGCAGTAGTCTGTAATTTCTTATTGCCCAGAGGGTTCAAGAGACCTAAATCACAGGGCAGCAGCTGTGATGTAACTTCAGCATGGGTAAGTGGTAAAATGGTTTCCTATTATTTCACTCAAAACTCCTCAAAAGCTCTGCTTATGCACTAGGTCATTCAAAATGACAGTATTTTCTATATAATGCTCTGGTTGCTATGGATGAATAGTGTCATATGTGTACCTGCTATAAATTTAAGCCCCAATCTCCATGCAGAAAAAAAATAAGTTGTTTCCTTACCTCCTTTCCAAGGGCTTTGCCATGTGCACAGCCACTTGTGCTAGTAGGTCATGTATCTGGGCTCTTGGCCATTCTCCCTTGTCTTACCCTTACCTGCCCTTGTCAAAAGTCCCTCTCCATCTTTCTCCTCAGCCCCTTTAGGTACTGGAAGCTGCTCTAAGGTCTCTCTGGAGACTTTCTTCTGCAGGCTAAACAAGCCTAACTCTCCTACTCTCCAAGTCTCCTTCACTGCCTGTTCAGATCCCAGGGTTTTCTTGGCATCGTAGCTGGAGAGTGATGACAAAGTGCAATCAGTGTGCAAATATGTAGCCTTTAGGCACAGTCTCAAAAATTGATAAAAAAAATATTTTTCTTCTTAAAATTATTATAAAGGTTATTATTCTTCTAAAGTTTATAATCCCTTGACCAATATAGGAAGCTTGCAGTGTTTGGGGTGGTTGGTACCTGCACTGCTGTGTCCCTGCTTGGGGAAGAAGGGAAATGCCTTTGTGTTGGTTTATGCTTATTTAGGAGCAAGTACACGCATCCCTCGTGACCAGAGCAGAAGTATCGCTGTAGGTCCTCAGCACGCTAGCAGAGTGGCCTGCTGCCTAGCAATTGTGCTCAGACCTAGAGGAAAGTGCTGAAATAGCTGTTCAACTTCTGTCTCTCCTGGATAAGGATGCAGAAACCCCATGAGTCTCACTGCAGGGGAATTTCACACAAAACCTCATGTATGGCGAGTTAAGGGGTGATGGTGGAGGTGCCTTAAATGCTGTGTATGGCATTGGAGATGATAAATGATGGGGTTTAGGGAATGAATGTAAGTTACTGTGCTTGGGCTTCTGCCCTTCCTCCTGCCACTGGACTCAGGTGTTGCCTTGGCAGATGATTTGGGCTAAAATAATTTAAAATAGCTCGTTTGGATGCCTCAGTCAGTGTGTGTCTGAAGTCCAGTACCCACAAATGACCACAGAAAAACATTGCTTGGTCTTTGTTTCCCCATTTAGAAAATATCTCAGAAAGGTGTTGGGAGGATTAGCTTCATTTTGCAGTGTGTTTAAAATATAAAGAACCTTACCAATGCTGAATATTTATTGCTTTCATTGAAAAAGTGTTGCCGTTTTCTGCAGTTTTAAGACATGATGAAATGGGAGTGAACTGTAATGATGGGTGGCATCAGCAAACTGACCACTTTGAAGAGTAAGTTGAACCATAAGTGCTGTACAAAGCTGCATTCCTTTTTATCTCCTGGCACCTCCTGGCAATCCACAGGGGTGAGGAAACCCAGGAACAGCCACTGAACTGAAATGAGCATTTGGATCAATTGACTTAGGTGGGTTTCTCTACCAATGCATATACACTGGTTGCTGGGAGGATTTTATCTATTTGTTGTGCTCTAAAACGAATAGCGCTGTGAAAAGGAGTTGCAAAACTCTGTGTTCTGATTTTGTTTCTTAATTTGCAATTGGAGATCTCAGATCCGGCACCATAGGCTACATTTCGGGCAGTGTTGGGCAGAGCCTGACATGGTGATCCTCCAAAGGTCAGAGCTGTTAAACAGGCTGGAACAATTTGGGGAGATAAAAATGAGCTGAGCAGTGCCAGTGAATGCCACAGCCCACCCGGGACATCTGTGCTTTCTGGGGGAGCTGATAGCCTGCCTGCATCCTTGTGGCTCACCCTGCGGGTGAGGCTGCATCACATGTAACCTGCTACTAACGACAAGCTCCGATCTGGTCCAGCGGTGTTTTGGATGAACACCAGCAATGTGTTACAATGCTTGTGTGGCTTTCCGTGTCTGTGCCGACTCGTAATCACATCCAGCCAGAACCATTGCTCCGATATATGGCCACCCCCATTTTATTTTCTTTTTCCTCTGTGAGCACGTATTCAGGCCAGCTTGGTAAGCAGCACCTCGCGAGAAGGCCACGGTACTCTGAGATACTATAGACTTTATCTGAAAAATGTTGGAATTCTGCTTGACGTTTTCCAAAGCAGGATGAGACTGAGGTGCAGTGGTTTGGAGGACACGCTTGCAAAGGCTCCTGAATAAGTGCTGGGAACAGATTTAAATTAAATTTATAAAAGTAGATTGTGGATAAAGAATTACACATTTTAAATGTTGTAACAGTTATCAAATGGTATACTGATACTCTTTGCTGTACATTTAAATATTTATACATTTTTTGTAGAATTAAAATATACTGGTTTAGTTTTCTTCTGGTGCATTTGTCTTTTTCTAGATGTACTTATCTTTTATATGGTAAAGCAAGGGATGGGGAGGTAGCCACACACAGACAGCATCTGGGCCGATGCAGCTACCTGCAGCTGTTCCTTAGCTGGAGCTTAAGGCTCCATTTTCTAGCCATCCCCTGGAAAACACTGTCAGGCAGGAAAACAGCTCAGCTGTGCATCACAGAGTCCAAGGAGGCATTCTGGGGCCTGCATCTCACACCTGAACCTCTAGTTTTTACCCTGCTGTGTTGGGTATTGCCCAGATGCTGCATAAACCATCTGTGTGTTGGGAAAAATAATAATTCAATTAAGTCGTTTCCTGCATATAAATCCTGCTCCTGCCCTCTCTGCAGTGGGCACAGAAGGTTTGATGGCCATGTCATGCAGGCATCATGACTGATTTGTGATGCTGCTCATCCCTCAGGTAACAAGGCTGCACGGTACTGGAGCTGTAAGGAGACTATAATACTATATATATATATAAACCAGACAAAAATTATAACGAATATATTAATATAAATATACTAACTACATTCATATATAT